GTGATCAATACACCCTCTACCTGGCCTAAAACCTGCCTGGTTTTCTCGTGTTTGTGTCTCCCGAGCACCACTTAATCTACGCAGTATTATTGAGCCTAGGATTTTAGATACTATATTAGTCAAGCTAATCCCTCTGTGATTATCACAAGACGACTTGTCCCCCTTCTTGTATATCGGGATGATCAGTGACTTACACCAACCCGATGGGACTTCCTCTGATTCCCAGACGCTGCCTAGAACCTCCGTTAACGCAGACAGTAAACTGTCGCCTCCGTACTTAAATACCTCTGGAGTCAATAAATCAGGTCCCGCTGCTTTGCCTAGCTTCAGATTGGTGACAGCTTTAGTAACCTCGGTTAAGGACGGAGGACCTGTGTCTATCTCCCATTCAGGGAGGTGTTGGATGTCCGGTAGGTTAAGTGTGGCTGTGGGCCAATTAAACTGCTCCTCATAGTGTTCTTTCCAGCGCTCCAGACGTCTATCCTGGGAGCTAATTATGGTGCCATTTTTCTCGGAGATTGTTTCGCTTATCATTTGTTTTTTACCACCTGTTTCCCTGATAAGCCTGAATAGTTGTCTGGTGTTGCCTATCGCCGATGCTTTTTCCATCTCTTTCGCCTTTGTCAACCACCACTGTTCACGGTCCTTGCGGAGACTTTTCGTAAGTTTCCTCTTGTGCAGCTTTCGCTCCTCATTGAATTCGGAGCTCGCCGGAATAAGTCTTCTAGCATCTATCAGTTCGGATGAGGCAGTCGAAATCCAATGGTTTTTACTCACCTTTGGAATTACCTTATTCACAGCTTTTACAGCTGTATCTATGGCTGACTGAATATTCTTCCAGGCTTCTTCAGGGTGAGCGCAGCTGTCAAACTCAGATATGTGTTTAGCTAGTTCTTCCTCAAATAGGGACTTAGTTCCCTGGTCGAGCTGGGGACGTGATGGGTTTACCGCCAGCTGTTTCCTACGTCCGTTCAGTCGTAAGCACACACGAGCGCGGACCAGTGCGTGATCGGTATCTACACACGTGTTCCAGAAGGAGCGACAATCTCCTACCGACCCACGCCAACGATAGCTTATTGCTATGTGGTCTATTTGTGTCCAACGTTGATTTGATGATGGGGGTCGCCAGGTCAAACAGTGTCTCTCCTTGTGTTTGAAGTTAGTGCTTACAAGATACAAATGATTATCTGAACAGAACTGTAGGAGACGGTCACCGTTGTCGGTTCGCTGGCACGGAATTCCGTATGTGCCACCCACATTCTTCTCAGATTGACACAATTTCCCTACTTGAGCATTAAAGTCACCAGCTAAAACGACTATATCTGAGCGTCTAGCCTTTCGCAGCAAACTAGACAGCTTTTGGTAGAACTCATCCTTCGTTTCATCCGAACTGCAGTCAGTGGGGGCGTAGGCGGAGATTACGAAAAGGCATCGGCGAGTAGTGCAGTCCTTTCTCCTTTTCACTGATCCGTTCAGGCGGACAGCGCACATTCGGCTATCTACCGGGATCCAGTCAAGTAATGTCTTTTCTGCTCTAGTACTTAAAGCTATCCCAACACCAGCTAATCCTCGTGAGCTAGCCGTCGCATCTCCTGACACCCTCAAGGTGAATTTTGCAGATTCATCCTTTTGGCCAGGTGGGGTTAGGTGAATAACCACACTTGGGTCTTGTATGCGTGTTTCTGAAACACAACATACATCAATGGCTCGGGATGCCAGAGTCTTGGCTAGTGATGCTTGTTGTCCTATTTGGCAAAGTGTCCTAACATTAAATGCTCCTATATAAAATTGGTGGCGTGGTTTTAGGAGACAATCGGTGGTGGCTTTTTGGCTTCCATCGTTATCAGTGCACACAGAGTGAAGGGGAAGTGAAGAGCCAACAAGAAGAGGAGTTGCATTGGTAGAAGAAAGGCAAGATAATAGAGATGAAGATGAAGACAAAGATGAGCGAGGATTAGAGGGGTTTCGCGTGCACTTCGGATTGTGAGGGCGATTGTTACTTCCCGGCTGCCCACACCGTGGAAGTTGGTTGCGTGACCGCAGAGCCCAGGGGACAACTGCTTGAGGCCGGTCACACACGGCCTGTTTTTGTTTGTTCTTTTTTGTTTGGTGTGTCTCAGTAGCGTATTTATCACTTCTGCCCTGTGGCACGGCAGCAGAAAGCGCGGTCGTTGTTAATCCGGGCCCCGACCGATCCGGCATGATATTTTGTGATTTATTTGAAATCATAGGGTTGGATTGGGTAACTGCTTTTAGTCTAACTGCTATCCAAACAACCTTTCTGGCATGGTAGGACCTGCAGGAACATAAGTTCCAGCCAGTATAGCTTGTTGGGTCATTGCAGTGTTCAAGCCCGACCACCACGTCAAGGTAGCAGCTTTCGGTCGGGTTGGTTCACTCCATGTACTTATGGTTATTGAACAATTTTAAGTTATATGTAGTTAACAAGAATCGAAGATGACTTCGTATTACCCTTCCTAATATTTCGTACTTAGTTTGCTAACGTTTACCGAGGGGAAGGATACCACAAGATCCGCGATTTGATGTATAGTCAAAGTAACCGATATAACTAATAGCTCCATATATTGCCTTTAAATCGACACAACAGTCCTATCGTACATTCGATAAACATGCGTAGACGTACGTCAGTGATGTGACGATTTTGATGATCGCTATATAACTGATAACCTCTGTGTAATTTAAACGTAAATGAAAAAAATAAGACAAACTGATAGTTATAAATCACGTGAAACAGAAGAGTAATCTAATACTTCTATCATATTTAACAAACAAGTCTACATACGCATATAGGTGAAATTCCAAAAAGAAAAGATCTAACAATAGGAAGTAACAATAACAAGTGAATGATCGTCTTTCCTACTTAAAGGTTTCTATATAAACAGCTGCTTTCAAGAAGCTTTGTTACTTAGCATGAACTCAATCTTGCGTTTGATAAATTCCTCCTCTTTTGCTCCTTCAAATCTTTCGATTTCCTTACCATTTTTCATAGAGATAACTGTTGGCACAACACTGATCTGAATATATATGCGAAAGGAATCGGAAAAATAAACAATAGTAAATCAAAAAATATGTAGACAACAGATTATTTTAAAAAGAAAAATTAAGACAGTGATTGGATATGTTACTGACACTCCAACTACACCTAGATTCAAACAATCCATTTGCTACTCCTCACTAATTTATTTGGTCTATGAATTAAGTAATAAGATAAAAAGAACGGGACAGAGACTTATTCAGCAGTTGTAACAAGTTATCCAAGAAAAAGTGAAACACTAAGGCTTCTAATGAAGACTCAGATGTGATTTTCTTCTTAGATACTCCTCATATTCGTGGTTAACCAGCGGAAGATATTAAAGCTATGATGAACAGAAATGAACTTCTGGAAAAGATTTCTTTTAATATTCTCTAAAGATGAATAGAGTGATGAGTAGTAGTTACCGATTAATAGAGTGAGGTGGTATTATGAACATAACAGTGAAGAAGAGAACAAATCTGATCCAAGCATTGAATGGGTAAAACGATAATCTATGTATGTGGGATAGTGATGTTATCGGTTACTGACATATAGTTGTTCAATTCTTACTACTCACCAAAGTTTTAATAGACAGACTTCTGATCACATTAAGAAAATTGTAACTAGATCAGTTATCATCTGGATTATTGTTATTATCAGTCTACCTCACACAGCTCTCTGGACTGTCAATCGAAAGTAGAATAATATAATAGTAAAATCCATGACTTTAATAGTAAAAGACATAACTATGAATCTCCCAAAACATAAGTGGATGTCCAATTGACAAATACAGAGAGAGAGAGAGAGGATGAAGGAGATACAGTCTAGAAAAGTAATTCGTCTATTTAACTGCAATCGCTTGTGAATTGGGTTGAAATAGCATGAATGCCTAATTGAGGTGAAGAAGAATAAGAAACAGACGTATAATACATTTGAGATCAATGCTCTTGATTAAATGATTGGACTACCGCTTAAGGACTAAACAGCAAAATTAATAATGGCATAATAAGTTAAATTATGAAAAGCACTTTCACAGTTTCTGCTGCTGCAAGAAAAAAAGGCTAACATTAGTTAAAAAAATCCATGGACGTGTTATTTTACAACATGTTAAGGCAGAACTCATTTCTACTCTACTCTGATTACTTTCATCTGATTCTTTTACATGCTAGATGGTTGTACCGAGAACCGACTTCAGCCAGTGGGTTACAAGTCCGAACCTTATTGTACCTACTTTAGCCTGAATGGATGGGTAATATCAACAGGCTTGACACAAAAGAATGGCTCTTGGACTGATGCATAAAAAACCTATTCTTAGTAACCCAGTCCTAATACCACTTTTAATACTGATTTTATGAATTAACGATATAGTAGTAGATTATTTAACGCGATTAAATCAATTACAAACTTCATTTACGATTTAATATTGAGAATTAAGATATGATGCTTTCAGTGCCTTTTGCGACCACTTAGGCGTACGTGCAGACATGTTAGGAGCAAACCATGATCAGTGTCCGAAATGGAGGACACAGAGTAAACCCCATCAAATGAAAATCTGTATCTAGCTGCTGTTTCCGCATCGCAATCTATTAGTTTTCTTCATATTACTATTGGCTAGGTGCTTTATGCAATGACAGAAACTATTTTCAAACAAATACTCTTCTAGTTATACCTATAATAGACAAAACTTTCAGGAGAGAGACCGATTAAACACACAAAACGCTGGGCGATTTGTAACCTATGGGGTAAAGAAAACGATTTTAAGACAAGAATCCATTGGTACATTATGACTCAATAACTAAGGTCACAAAGATTCATTTAAGACACATTTTAACTATCTTCTCTCACATACTGCGTTACCTAGTCCACCACAAAATGAGTGACACATGCTTCTCCACACGCTTCCCTAGTGCTATTAGTTTAATGCACCAGAAACTCTTTAAATGACTACGACAAGACTAAACCCTACCTTGTACTTTTCAGCAATAGTATCCAGCTGGTCGACATCAACCTTGGCAAGCAGAACAGACTTCATATACGATTTCATGACATTTTCTAATCTTGGACCCAAAATTTTGCAAGGACCACACCTAGAATTAAAAAATAAAAGAGAAAATAGAATAGCAGGCATTTTTCGAAAAATATAAATTGTCTCACTCTAACCACTTCAAAAGACGATGAAGCTGATTTGGTATCTATCGTTTGTAGGAAAATGTGACGTCACGCCAGCAGATAAGGTTGCACGAATAGGTCAGTAAATTGTAGCAAAACTGACTGATGTAAGATAGACTCAGAGGTTCACTTCAATACAACCATATGTTTCAGTGCGAGCACCCCAGTGGTACTAAGGATTTTACAAATGACATGGAGATGTATGCACAATGGAACAATGATGGAAACTTAACGCTGGAACCTGGAATGATAATGTACTTATTCGAGTCATCATACTTCAATGCGCCAACAGGAATAAAAATAATATATAAAAGGGAATGGTAAGATCAAGTGAAAAAGAAGATGATTGATGATGTCACCTAGATTAACGCTTGTATTGTTAAACACAAAACAAAGAAGGTATGCCCACATGACACAGGAACGAATTTTGACTGATAAAATCTAAAGTTTACAATCTTTAATTCGCGTTGGCAACTGAATAGACTGATGTTGCTCCCATCCTCAACCGAAGACTATTTTATAGTATATTCATGGTATAGACACATCACTGTAGATTTCCGATCACAGATAAGTGGCTGACGACATAAATCTGGTATCAGACATGGAAGCGAAAGATGAGAACATATAACTGGAACGCGTGTGACCAACTATGATTTGTTTACGTTTAGCATCAACCAGAGATGTTCTTTCGGCTTATTTAGAGATTTAAAGCTCCTAAAACGTTGCTATAACTTGAAAAATTAGTGATTGGTAATCATAGTTGGGCGGATCTACAAACCTTTTTACCTCTTTATATCTCATAAATCTGTACATAATTTCAAATGCTCGATGATGCCATCCTACTTTGGCATTTCCTTTTTTTGAGCTACTAGGAAGTGTAATAATGAAACATTAGACTACTGTGAAGAGTTATCACTCAGTTAATTTATCTGCTTTGTTATGCTTAAGATACTTTGCCGAGTTCCGACAATCATTAAAAGATACAGTTGAGCATTGCCATCAGGTAAATTAACTCAGTGGAAATATTGTTACAAAATCTGTAGAATAATTAGCGAATACTCTATAAATGTCGGAAAAGTGACAATATTAATATGATCTCGTAAACAATACATAAGAGACTAACCATTTAGCGTGAAAGTCAACAAGTACTGGGGCTGGATTTTCTAAAACACGCTTTTGAAAGTCATTATCATCTTGAATATTTGTGATTCCAAATTCAGGATCAGTTTTGTTTGATAGGCAACGTGAAAGCGGTACCTGCTTTTTGGAGATTTTGAATTAGTTTATTAGAGGTTACACTTACAGAGAGGATTGCAGATCCTATGCTGCACCTAAGAACTCTAAAAGAAGAGTTTTTTATACATACTTTACATCTTACCGTGCTGAGGAAATTAACATCTGAAAAAATTACATAAGTAAGTACCATATAACGAAACATTTAGAATATTAATAGGAAAAGAAATTGGGTGAAATAATGTATTTATTATTTAATCATTAGGTTTTACATCGACAAATCCTAGGCGCGTTTCATTTTGACGACGCGTAAGAACACCCGAAACATCTATGTAACGCTCCACACAGTTAACTATGCAACTTTCTGTTCTTGAATCCAATGAGCTACTCAACTTTGAAACACATTTATCCCAACAAATTGATGTGAGTTGATGGCCCAATTGTTGAAATCGTTGCTTTTGCAATTCCTGAAGTAACTGACGCTGCAACACCTCATCAGACATTTAAACTGTGACAACTTGATTTCCAAAGCTGCAAAACAGAAAGTTACTATGTAAACAAAGAATATATTACAAGTGCAATAAGGCACTAAACTGATACTAGCCTCAGAGGACGTTTTACGATAAAGGTATTGCGACTGGATCTTAGATTTCTGTTCAGTAAATGCAAGAAACATTGCGTAGTCTGATAGGATTGTACCGTTTTTCATTATTGTACTTTTGGTTAAGCGAAAAACTGGAATGTAGCAAACAGTATGCTTAGTTACGTAATTATATAACCGAAATTGATATATACTCTGGGTTAAGTGAACGCATCTGGAATATCGTATAAGAGGTGAAACAGGAAGCGGCTTCACAGTATTTACAAACATGAAATAAAAACGGTTTTGATAAGTCGGACTAGGTCGAAAATCACTTCAAATGAGCACTTCCAAACAAATGAAAATAGAACTATGTATACAACAAAATATATGTTAAAGGTCAGCAATTAAATGTGCTTTGATAACTTGGAAAGTAGGCGCAAAACAGACTCAATCAAATACTTGGTTCAGATTACTATAGCAAATAATCAGTAACATATTCCGGAAATTTTTCTAAAAGGCTTGACTAGGTCCGTTTATGTTTTCTAATGTGGTGCTACAATACGAGCAACTGTAGCAAGCTGTGCTGTAATGATGCTGAAAGATCTTGTTTACAGTTGTCTTCAAGTTAATGAGCGTTTATGGAGCTTTGATTTATTTATTTATTTATATTTTTGATTACAGCTTGATGCCACACCGTATTTTCAGTACAAGTATGGAATTTTCAGCATGGATATCGGTAGCCCAAATTTTGCAGGCCGACCATAGATATCGGGTGTGCGTCGGCAGGGGATCGAACCCCGGACCATATGCATGGTCGGCGAGAGTCCTAACCACTGTGCCACCGACGCACAGTATTTCATTTCACTTCGTTATACCCGATACGAGCAAATGGATAGTCCAAATCAACCATTGTTACTGTTAAACTGCATATGCAAATTGTAATAAACTCGAACCATAAAATGAATACCTCACAACTAAGTTCATATTTAGTAATCATATAGCGTTAATGAACGCCAGCAAGTGAACGAAAACATTCGTAGGTGAAGACCAGTAACCTTGATATACTTTCCACTTTGGTGACCATGCTTCACAAAACTGCAGCACAATGTGCACACTCTTTAATGCATAATACAACATTTTGTCAATGAAAAAGATAAACAGTTGCACCAAATTAATACTTTGGTAGGTTTTTATATTGATTAACACACAGATATGTTACTTGAATACTCTTAGCATTAGAACGACTCAGTGCACGCTAGGGTACTTAGAAATTCGATTAACCATATATGTTTAACAAGAAAAAGCGAATATGTTACTTAACTTACAGTCATAGTGATGAATAAAAATGTATGCAACTAACGAGCAGTAGCCGCAGCCATATAATAAATGTATAACGCTAATAGGAAGATGAGATATCAATCAGCACAGTTAATTCCATCGAAAACTTCATGAACTAAAATTTAATCACGTCCTTGTGTGGATGAAAGTCAACAAACCCATCTTAATATAATTCTGAATTAAATCTCGCTAATTCTAAACTAACTCTAACATTCTATAATGATTAAATCCTGAAAATGTTCTGAAATGGTTTCACTAAGCGCACAGACTAGAACTTAAGTTACTAGGCCTAATAACTTCCGAAACTTACAATCATTCTAAACTAATCCTAACCTATCCGTCGATAAATGGAAAATGAATATTGTATCTACCTAAAATGAACCCATTATGTATTGAAATAACACTGGTCGTTCTTAAAAAGAGCACCGTACGCTTAATTAATGCGACAAAACCTTAAAAACAGGATTTAGTGCTAAAATAAAGCTTAAAAAATTGCCACTATGCACTGAACTGTCTTTTCGTTTTGAAGTAATGCAGTGCTGAATCTGGGCTAGGAGGGCTGAAATACCGCTAATTAGAAAAAGCCACTAGGTTCTGAGCTACTTCTGAAATAGCACAGGGTGCTGAATTAGTGCGGTAACTCTAAACTATAGCACCCAAGAACGAAACTAACTCTAGCGACTGATCATATGCGTCAAAAATAGAAGTGCGTAGTTCGAAATCAGTATTCATATACAAGTAATGCAATGTTAAAAAATGGTTACATAGGATAATATTTTTATATGTACTCCAGGAAAACCTCCCAATTTCCCACAGGAGTTCTCACAGTCAGGTTAAACCATTTTCTGCAAATAAATTCATCAAGGTTAACAACCCGTCCATTAGGTAGTTTCGTTTTAGGCTGCTATAGTTTAGAGTGACCTCCAGGACTTACTTATTACAGAATGTTACAGTTAGTTCAGAATTAAAGAGATTTACTTCAGCATTATGGTAAGCTTGGGCAACATGTTGCTTACAACATTTCCAAACTTATTGTAACTTCTCCTCGATAATGCCTTTTTATGGTATATGATGATTTTGTCTACCCACCATGTTGTGAAATAACGCTGGTCGTGCTTAAAAAGAGAACTGGGTTCTGAATTAAGTCTTTTCGTTCCGAAGTAACGCTAGTCCGTGCTTAATGTGTCCTGTGAGGGCTGGAACAACGCTGATAAGGAAACCCAGTGGGTTCTGATCTACTCCTGTAAATACCTAGAAAAATTTTTCTTAAGAACACAATGTTAAATTAGTGCCAATCATCCTGAAAACCAGCACTGAGTTCTAGTCTGTACCAATAAAGAATCCATTTCAGAACAGGTTTAGAATTTACTTGCTACAGAATGCTAGAATTATTGAGATTTGATTCAGCATTATAGTAAGCTTGGGCAGCCGGCCGGCTGGTCGATCATGTAACAACGGACGCATTAGTATATCTGTTGACCCCCTCATGGTGCGACAATTTTTTTGTAATAAACTACCAGCATTGAATTCCTGCTGCACACATCTAATTGCAGGCCAAACACTAACTAAAAGCTCAAAGTGTGGTAGCGCTAACCTTAAAAAGGCACTTGTGTCCAATGCCCAAGGATGAAAACCTCCAATATTTTATGTTCATTATCAGGAGGCATCACAACCCAGGACGTAAGAGAACCACTCTCAGTATTAACTTCATGCTAAGTTCTACAGCACGGCTGTTTTTGCTGTGTCAAACCACGAAGATGGTGGAAGGTTAGTTAAATTTGTAGTGATGACTGTTAGGGCAGGGGGCTGCTATCACTGGGTTGATGTTTTTCGACCGTTAATCGTTCTGCATGGTCACGGATAAAATTAGTATATTCCCATTCGGATGCCATGGATTATCACTTTATAGGATACCAAAATTAACATGACAGCGTAGTGCACCTTGAATGTTTGAACTTTGTTTTAATGCATTCGTGTACCATGGCGCCATCTCTGTTTTTCCTGCTTGACCGCTCGCACGCGACTCGCTCCCTCATTGTGCTATCATTAAGTAAACTCCTGGAGCCTTCTACCCAAGCCTGTCGACAGATAAGTTGTGCAGTATTACTACGTGTTAGTCTTGGTTTTTCACTTGTTAGATAAATATTATTCATATCTGAGAGCACAACAGTGCATAAGCCTTCTACCTGAACTTGACTGGTCAGTGCATGCACAGTAGGTAGTGTAGTGATCAGGGTTAACGGAGGAAAGCAAGTTAGGTAGGTGCTGACGTCAAGGCTTATCTAAAATTCGTCTAAGGCGCTTACTCAAGAGCAAAGTCGATACTTATCGATGGCACTGGTAAGAGTGACGTTACACAAAGAAATGAGAGAATTGTAATTTGTGTGATATTGAATTCCGGCTTAAAAAGACGAAGTTTCGATGAACCTAGCATCATAACCTAGAGCTTAAGAGACGGATATATGGTCAGTTGTTCTCAAACTTATGTCAGTTCATGGGAGAACATCTATGAAACCGGTCCAGTTCCATACGAGAACTGTAAACTATATATAAACAAGTCATTTGCATCTTTGCCGCAGACACGGACATGTGAATTCAACCTGCGTAGTTACTGATCATACGCATGGTTTTTCAGTCCAAATAATACTTTCCTGTTCTCATTTTGGTGTTATCCGGACGGTTAGTGTTTATCTTCGAGGGAGATGAGGAATAAACGTTCTAAGATTCGAAGAACATTTGTACGCATGATTTGTTAAACTATGTTATTACGCCAGGCATAAATTAGGATAACTGTAAGAAATGTAAGAAGCTTGGATATATTTGTAATAAAAATAATTATCACTTCGTATAAACGGGTACGTTTACATGAGATGCATGCCATTTTTACAGCCACGATCAGATATTTTATAAATTACCATCGTGAGATATCATAAACTTTCGCTTTTCCGAAGTCTAAATGGTAATTTTCAGTACAAACAATCGGAACAGGTTCGTATAAATGTTAAATTGTAAAATCCTCTCACTAAGGTCTCCATCACGGTTGAGTGCCAACCAAAACTTCGTTTCCTTTCCTGCTGATAGTCATTGTCAACCAGTGAGCGGCCTATATTTGGGTAAATACTGTGCCCCTACGTGAGTGAAGGCTATTTCAGGAAGAAAGGGACGTTCTGGAAAGCTGCGAAATGGTATGAAATACCACAGTAGATTATACATCATTGAAAGTACGTCGACAAGATATATACGAGAAGGACCTATAGAGTCCTTGGAATGATAGTATACATTTGAAGTGTATGAAGCTAACCATATTGGTCTTACCACGGAAACTATGACAATTTTTATGCAAAAAGCTTTGCCCAAACATTGGTGTTGTTGTTGTTCTTTTTCATCAGAGCAACCAGACTTTAAGCTAGCGAAGAATACGAATAAAAGAGTAAGTTTTAATTTTATTAGGGCCTATGTAGTTAAGACAAAATAGCAGTGCAATAGTACTTGGATAAAAAATTATCGTAAAGTATGTAAGTGATCAAATAAAGTATAATTATATTTCAATAGTTTGCATACAATGATAAGTTTTGTTATTGATAATATTTCGAGCAAAATTACAAATAACAAAACTAATCATTGTGTGTAAACTATTGAAATATAATTATACTTTATTTGATCTAATCCACAATGCTCAAACTTTTTACTGACATTATATAAGTGATATTTCAGTGAGAAGTGGCTTCCGAGATCTGAAAGATATGAACATATAGGATACGCAGACCTGTAAGATGTCTCACAAATTTCCGCAGGGCCCATGGGGTGGTATATAGACAAGGCTTATAGATGTTAGCAGCAAAAGCACCTTTTCGTAATTTAGATCTGTACAATCATTATTGTTTTTAAATATTATGTTGAGGATTTAAACTCATGTCTAGTTCTCGAGCCGTCAAAAATGCATGTTGCTGTCCTACAGATAGGGGTGATTCACATTTGCAATCAGCACCATATCTGCTGATCAGCATGCGCCACCCTCCCTCCTTTATTGATGTTAAGCTCTGGGATTTTTACAATAACTGTGGTTTTAGCATCACGTGGCTTCGAACCCCCCAATCACACAGTACACTGTACATGAATAGCTTTAATGACAGAGGTTCCCATCAGGTCACCAGGTACATCGATACCTGAGGACGTCCTTAGCAGTACTATCATTATACATTCATACCTATATTATATTATATTTATTCCTATCTACGTAGGACACACCAGTTTAACAGGCATGGATAAGTATTATTTACATTACATGAATTTGATTTATGGTGAAAGTACATGGTTGCTGTCATTTCTGACATTAGTTAGTGAGTACAGTCTGCTAGCTAGTCATTCAATAGGGGAACATTAAGAAATATAGAAATATTGTCTTTGCATTAACACCAAAACCCAAGTATGTGTTGGATGGATTAAAAATAATTGGACAAAAAAATAAAGCTTGAAGTCATTTCCTCCATAAAACTTTGCTATGTGTGGCATCGTGTCTTGCTCTTGATTTATGTTCAAATTGGGCATTAATTTGAAATGAGAAATTCATTTGCATGATTTTGTCAGCACTTTTATTGTAAGTAGCACCAGATGTGAATTCTACTGAATGCAGATTAACATTGGTTATTGTCATGCAGATTTGTTTTGCCGAACCCACGTCAGCCAAGAACACCATTTGTCACTGCATGGTTGTTAGCTACGAGTGAGTTGATTAACAAGTAGAAAGCTATATGTAAGAAATTTTACATCATTGAGAGTGCTTGCATAGGATGCTGCACAGCGTCTTGTTATGGTAACAGTGGATTTTATCAAGCATGCTCAGGCGTTACTAGCCAAACCTTAAGGGATGATGTATGATTACGTGACTTCAATTTTTTCTCAGTTTCAACCTGAATGCAGATCTGTGCAACTTCTAATAAAAGGCAAATACAACAGAATAGGTTGACAGCAAAGTACCAGAGAGCAAAAAAAGTAGGTGGAGTCGAAGATACAAGTTTATATTCGTTATACATTGTAATTTAGTAAACAAAAATATTTATTTCCACTTAGTCTTTTTATACATCTGTCCGATTAGTCTATTTATCGTTTATAGAGTAATTAGGAAGTTTTAAGCGTTCTTTAGGTACTATAGTAATGTAATGATTGATTCGTTCTAGGAATAAATAGTTTATCAATGTAGTCAGTAGAGTGAAACAGTCTGTGCAGAGAGCGTTTGAAGCTTATAACCGTGTTGCAAGTTCTGACTTCTAGGGGCAGGCTGTTCCATATTTTAGAATACATGACTGTGAAGAAGTTTCCGCGGAGTGTTGACTTAAAGGCTTTTATTGTCACTGTGCAAGTTTGGTTACTCAGATCGTAAGAGCCTTCCTGTGCGAATTGTATGTCCTTATTTTCTGAAAATGATATTTTGTGTAGGACCCTAAGGAAGAATATTAGGTTTACAATAAGTCGTCTCTTTCAAAGTGGGTCAAGTTTTAGGATCATGCACCGTGAGATATAGCCTTTCTTACAATCGTAGCCAAGTAGTTTGGAGGTAAAATATGGTTGGATACTTTCCATCCCTGGCTTGTCGCGTGTGCAAGTGCTGCTAATAATAAATGGACAGTATTCTAGTGGTGGCCTTACACATGTTTTGTATACAATTAGCTTGGCTTCTGTACAAGTATATTATTAGAAATGACTAGGAAATTAGGCTTTCTCTAAGAATTATAAAGTATAGAAGTAACTGGTATTATATTCTATTTAGCAGAGTGATACGAGTGGGTGAACAGTTAGCAACAAAGTTACGTAGAATGGTCAAGAGGAAAACAGCTGGTACGCGGAACTTGTTATGCTAAATTTTCGTGACCGATTTTTGTATGGTATGCGTTAGACAATGCAAAGTAACTCGCTAACTTATATTATGGAGAAAAATACTACGAAATATTTTAATATTATGAATCTCAGGAAAGTATATGAAAATGGATGGCTGTTGACTGAAGGTAGACATTTCAACACAAAAATAGTACAGTTTATTATACTTATTATATATGCGTATACATGAAGAATATTAAAAGCTATGTTTGCCAATAAAATTGTTTTTTAGAAGTACTTACACTTACCGAACTTATTGAAGATTATATGGAAGAGAAAATCAGTGAACTGGTTGAACATTAACTGCATAGGGAGTAGCAGAAAGGTTTAAAAAGTAAGTGTTTTCAGTACTTGAGCAAATTAAGTCATAATCTATTGTGTAGAGCGAAATGTGTAGTGGTACAGTTAGGGGTAAGTGTGGGTTAAATGAACTTGAGGAAAATATTCGGTTTGCCTGAGCTTATTGTTACTAAGCTTTCACGACCACTTTTTATACGGTATGCTTTAGATATTGTAAAGTACCCGTTTGCTTATATCATGGAAAAATTAATACGAACTACTTTAGGATTTTCTGTTTAGGAAAATTATAGTTAGTCCTATAACTCTGTAAACCTGTTTGATGAAATATTGATAAGATCTCCAATAAGCTGAATAACCCGAAATTGTGAGAATTTTGTCCCATTTTGCATGTTGTACGATGGCTGGGGCAAATGAAATTCCTCAAATTTGGGTATTGCGCTGGGGTCTGTAGCACTACAATTAGTTGAACAGCCTATATAGGTAAAGTATGGACAAGTAGACCGGAGCACTTTTGTCGATAGGAAATAACTAAGGAATTCAATGGGAGATCGGCAACGACGTACTGTCAGCGGAAGTTAGTTCTATAATGTACTGTACTGTATTTTGAAGAAACTTGGACGCAATGTTTTC